GGTGGCTTTCAGTTGGGGGTAACAGCAACAAACACAAATAACAATGAACATGTATGTATTCTGTGCTAAACAAATTGCCTGAGGGCACAGAGCAGTGGTGGAGCCAGGAACTGAGCCCAAATAGTCAGGTTCTACACTTCATTCAGCTCTCCCACCCAGACCAAAGGTCCTGAAGTATTCGTATGTTTCAGTATGTCTCGTGAAACTACCATTTTAGCTTGGAGATAGAGGAAACTTGTTCTTTTCTGTAGGAGGCCTAATTTAGTTTTTGGTTCGTTTTTAATGTATTACTGTACACGGGTATGTTTTTGTAGCTGTACGTTTTACATACTACGTTCAGGTTTTACATACTACGTTCAGATTTTACTGTTTCCTTCTCTTCAGAAAACTTGCCAGAGTTTAAAGTAAATATGCATTTATAAAGTAACCAAATGGAAATGGGTTGATTGAAGTTTGAAACAAAACGAGGTAGATGAAATATTTAAATGTGTTGTTTCTGTTGAGTCATAGAGCATGTCTTGTTCCTGGGGTTGGCCATGTGAGTTTGTGTCATTTGTTTTTCCTGGAGATCACCTATTTTTTAACTTCTAAATCCAAGGAGATCCAACTGTTTATTCTCCAAAAAGGACCCAAGCTTCAGTTAGGTATGACATCACTACATCTCATAATTTCTCCTGGATTGTTCATGTTTTTATTGTGAACGGTGTCACAGTAACATGCAGGGATCAGGCTCTTCTCGAGGATGTGGAATTCGTGTGGTCTTACTTCTGTCCACTGAGAACTAACTCCTCCCTTGACTAAGAACAAAGAAGACTCTCTCAAAATCTTCTCATCTCCAATTTGAAAAAAATCTATAAACAGACAAGTGTGTAACTTCATCATTCAAGTCTTAGGGAAAGATGGTCAAGATATTTTTCCAAGTGAAAAAACAAAACAGAAGACAAATTTCCTAGTCGTCTGATTCAATTGATATATGAATATATTTTCGTATAAAATAAGTTTATATTAAATTC